AAAAAAAGTGGTTGCAGCCTAAACTGTATTGCACTGATGACGTTTTATTAGTAACAATGTTGTTAAGGGAATACATGCTTTGAAAGAGGAAGAAAGAAATTAGACTCTGGAAGTGCAGAATAGAACCACAGTTCTATACCACTAGTTATGCATTCCTTTACTCTGATAACGCACAGATTAACAATTTGTGAATGTGGATGTTATTTGTCTTTTTAATTACTATTTTTTGAAAGTAAATAAATAGACAGACATGATTTTTTTTAAAATCATGCAAGAGATAAGCAGAAATTACAATTATGATAGTGTTTTCCAATTATATTTCTTCCAATAGTAACTATGGAGTTGTTATTCCTACAGTAGTGTTCTGAACAGGCTTGAGCCAGCTTTAACGCAATGCTGTTCCATGAATTACACCACATTGGCAAAATTTTCAATTCTTGAAAAAACATTAAAGTGCTAGATTCTCTTTCCATTTCTACTGTCAGTAATGTTCACCCACAATAAGCCTATTGAGACAATACATTTACTATTAAAATGGTGAAAAGTTAGAATATCTAGAACAAAAGAGTAGTCATCCTGACTGAGACCAAAATCACTTCTAAGGCAAAGCATTCTGAACTATGCTTAAGGAAGAAGGTAGAAGTAGGGCTTGTATAAATTACATGTTCTCAAGTTGGCTTCAAACTAACCAGACGATAAATCAATTCTTGTCCATCTCTCTGCTGCAGACAACTTAACAGATCCCAAATACAACATCCCTCAGACATTTCTAGAACTAAGTCTTAGCGGACTCACTCATGTCTACAAAGCCACTCTATACCTTTCTTGTTATCCTTCTCTGAATCTTTTCCAAGTTTATTTTTTTGATATGGTGCGATGAGTATTGTGCAGAGCTTTCAAGATGAATCAGGACTACGTGACTATATACAACACAGTAACACTATTTTGTTCTGCATTCTTCTCACCACTATGCCTACTCCTTGATTTTCTTTTTTAGGTTGGGGGTTTTTGTTTTTTTGAATTGTCCTATGGTTTGAATGGATTATGGTTTGCATGGAATTTTTACCTTAAATCCAAACTAGATATACCCATATACCATATATAACTATACTGATTTTCCTAAACAATTAATTTTTCAAATCACCTGTTACTTAAAGAAAGTCCATTGCTGGACATGTTAAACAAAATCTTTATGTGCCTCTAAAACCAAAATAAAATAGTTAATTGATTCTCAGATTAAGGAAATTCCTTCAATAAATGCAGTACCACAATTTTACAAGTATTCCTAAAGTTGACCTATCACGTGTGTAAGAACCTGGCTTCCTATTACATTCAGACCTTTCCTGAACTTCAGTCAAGAACAGTTTGATTATAATGTTCAATATCTTCATCAGAATATAATCAAGATGACTATATCATTTATAAAGTCTCATTTTTCATAATTTTAATATAAAATTAAAAACAGAATGAAGGTTGAGGAGCATCACAGGGCCTCTAGCCAAAGTAACCTTTAACAATCTATAAATGCAAAAAGCAACGTCTCAGGACAGAGCCTATGACTTCTGATTTTCTTCAGGGGCTTCCTTGCCTTTGTCCTGAGCATGTTAAAGGGCAGGTTATAAAAGTATACAGAATAAAGTCACAAATTTGTCACAGTAATGATACTGCTTTTTCAACATTTTCTAGCTAAAGGTATCCATGCATTTTAAACAGAAAATTCATCATTACTGCTCTATATGAAACCATGTGACATGTCAGTAATTCTTTCAAGTCTTTCTCTGTCTTAAAGACTCATAAAGCACTTCTAATAGCCATGTATGATGGATTTCAATGAGTTTAATATCCATTCCTTAAAATTATGCATATATAGGCATTATGCTCAGTCAGGGTCACAGTGAAGTGTTTCTAAGAACTGAAGTTCATGAAACAATTACATATGCACTTTGAGACTAATAAATATTCTTTATTTTTCCTGAAAATGGCTTACCTTAAAAAATATCAAGTACGCAGTCTGAAAATGACAGCCTTATGAAAATGATTCAAAATGACCAAAAAGCTGCTTAATCAAAAAGTTTTTTAAAAAAGGGGGAAAAAAAAGGTATTTTGGGTCAAACACATTTATTGCTTCTTTTTGGACTTTTATATTCTTCTCTCTCCTCATTCTTAAAAAGCAGTTGCTACAAAAGTACAAGAGGGGAAAAAAAGCTCACTAAAAAAAACATGGCCAAGTGTAGATATGCAGCAGAATTTTTCAGCTTTCAATAGAGATACAAAAATATGATCCTATTAATTTTCTTTCTTGTGTAGAGCATTTGTTACATGACTATCGATCTCTCTTCTGCAACATTTTCTGTAGATGCTGTCATATATTGCTGACATCACTTGAATTACTATCCAACAGAAATCTGTATTGCTAGAGAATACAGTGATACATGGTAAATAAGAAGAGTCTGACTCTGAGAACAGCAGGTGTCCTAGAGCAAGAAGTGCAGTTCCCTCACAAATGTTTTCAGACCAAGGTTGACCTGAAAATCCAGCCCTTGTTTCGTGTTCACATTTCATCTGTAGTACGGCCTATGCATTAAAAGTTTATATTTTAAAATCAAGACTGATTTATGTCAGAGAATCCATTGAAATTTAAGAAGTTTTCTGAACTTACAAATTTTCTTTATATTTTATCCAAGTACAACTTCACTGCTACTCCACAGGTTGTACAGCAGGTATATTATTGAGTGACTTACAAACTACCAATTTAGTGAAAAAACTAATAGGCAACTGTTTCATGTGAGGTACTGCTTCGTACATAATGTCTTTTCAAGAAACAATACTTGTAACAGTCACCAAGGCAGGAAAGAACTTTATTCAAGGCCAAACCAAATTCTGCTTATATGAAATTCTACTCAAACTTTATACAACTTATCATAATGCAAAAAATACATTTTAGTGCTAGCCTCCCTATTCTACATAAGGGGTTGTTTGTTTTTATCAAAGAACAGCTGCATACTCCAATTTGCAGATGGACATGAAATCATATTTTGACAATTTCAGAAACAAAAGTCTTTCAGGCTGCACATGCTCCCTAATATAACTTAAAACCTACAGTATTAGATTTAGATTTTTTTCTTTGCTGGTATTAGCTATGAGACTATTTTGCTAGTTTTAATTTCAAGGAGTTCTTAATGGGTTTGCTATTTCATTTCTTGTATCTGCATCTCAAGTACATACATCTGCTTCCCATCCGATCTGAAAGCTCTTTACCTCTTTTAGGCTTGGTCTTTGTTATTTGGTAGCTATGCTATTTTCAGACTCCATTTCAACAAGCCAACTGAATTGAGCCAACAGTCCCACATTGCAGTCCTCCACTTGCCTCAAGCTCACTTCTGCAGCAGACTTGAGCTCATTAAGTATCTCCGTGTCTTTGCACCTCTCCAACAGCAGAGCGTTTGACTCATCTGCACCAAACCTTCGCAGTGACACCATAACATATATTTATATTTCAAGCCTCACTGGAAGAGCTGTGGTAGGTTTATCACCGAATACCTCTGCCCCAACCTCTTTCTAGTGCTGGAAAAAAGAAGGTTAGCACCAATAGCATGTGGAATTTTTTTCTCCACTCACATTTTGCTCCAGGACCTTCAGCCTAATGTCAGCAAGATTGTCATTATCCTGTAGAGCCTTAAATTGCTGATCACATGGGGAAGTGTTACAGCAATGAAAGGATGAGACACCATCAAAGCTTCCATCATATGGGAAATCTACCACTCCTAAACAGTGCAGTTTCCCCTAATAAATGAGGGCCACAGACAGCATACACACAATAACTATGATACTCCAACCACATCTAAGGAGATTACTACCCCAAAACACAAACCATAACTGGGTAAGTGTAAGCTGCACCATTAAAATCCCTGATGCTTGTGTACTGAGAAATTCTTCAACCTGAAATC